GATACCAGAGTTGTAATGTAACTAAGTACAAATACTTTGTTACTGTACTTAAGTAGAATTTTTGGGTATCTGTACTTTACTTGAGTAATTATTTATCAGCGTACTTTTTACCTTTACTTAATACATTTTTACACAGTTATCTGTACTTTCTACTCACTACATTTTAAAAAAAGGTAAGAAGTAGAAAGTCGTTACTCCTATTTTATTCCGAGTTGTTATTACTTAAAAAAATACTATCCTGATAAAGTGTGTCTCCTGGATAGAGTGATTTTAATAGTGGTTGGATGAGAAGTATAAATATATACCATTCTGACACCATATTAACTTGTACACAACCCATCACAGCTGCACGCCGTTAGAAAAAATATTTTTTTTGAGAAGTCACCTCCCAATAAATGTCATTTTGGAAAATCTAACTGCTCACTTTCACTCAGTACTTTTACTTTTAATACTTAAGTAGATTTTGTGTCAGAAATTTACTTTTGATACTTAAGTACAAAAATATCAGATTATTTAAGACTTTTACTCAAGTAATATTTTTTGAGAAGACTGTAACTTTTACCAAAGTACACAGTAAAAAAAGTGTCATTTTAATTCCTATAGAGTTGAATTTAACTCTTCTTTCATACAATATTTGTCCCCACTCAATATTAGTGTAAAATGTACTACATAGCCAGTATCAACTTCTCAGAGTTAATTTGACTCWTTTTAGTGTCAAAAGCAATAATGTAAAGAGTAAAATTATTTCAAGTTATAGTTTGTTTACACTCTGCAGAGTAATATTATTTTTCTGGAGTTACACTAAATTCACTATAAAAAGTACCATTTATTGTGTGATACTCCTATTTTTTGTTTTCCTTTTTACACAGTAAGAGTCAGAGTACACAAGAGTTATGCACTCTAACAAGAGTTGATATCAACTCTTGAAGTGTTGTATTAACACTGTTCTCTTCTCTGTTGAACATCRCGACAGGGTCGACTTTCACACACCAGGAAGTACCTCTCACTCATGGTGTCGATTCATGGCCAATAACACAAAACCTAAACTTAAAAACTAACCAACCTGAACAGGAAAACTGACCAAAAAAAACTCAATTTTTTACATTAATGAACATTTTTAACAGTCTTAGACAAGAAAACACATAATTTCTACAAGATTACCCAGCATCCCTTGCTGAGAAAATTCTGGTCTTTGAGGAAGAGGGCGGGACTTTTCAGAGTACTTCTTTCAACACTGTTAAGTGTTAATCAAGATTTAACAGTGGACGGAGCTTATAACMCTGTCCAGAGTTGAGACAACACTGATGAAATTAACTCTGTGAATTAAAACCAACACTGGATGTTAATTTACTCAGAAAGTGTTAAAAATAACACTTGGGAGCTGAAATTAACTATGAAAAGTTTAACACTGAAACTTTAACATTCCAGTTTTTACTGTGTAGTTTTATGATAAGATACTTGTACTTCTACTCAACAATCACTTTGAGGAACTTTATACAACAATGCCAGATACTGACTGGTTTTCAACCTTCTTCACTAACCTTCCCAACGTCACTGATTTAACATTACAGTATTAAACTAAAATAGCATAATATTCTAACATAGCATAATATTGGATGTGGCAAAACTTTCTTCGGTTAAACAAAGACAAAACTGAAATAATTGTTTTTGGTGCCAAGGAGGAACGATTAAAAGTTAGTACTCAGCTTCAATCAGTGACATTAACAACCAGTAACCAAGCTAGAAATCTGGGTGTAGTCATGGATTCAGACCTGAATTTTAACAGCCATATAAAAATAGTTCTGAAGTCAGCCTATTATCATTTAAAGAGTATWTCRAGGATCAAAGGATTGATGCCTCAACAGGACTTAGAAAAACTTGTCCATAGCAGACTGTAATGCTGTGCTCACAGTCTCCCTAAAAAATCAATTAGGCAGCTGCAGTTTGCTCAGAACACTGCTCCTCGAGTCCTCACGAAGACCAAGAAAAGGGACCATATAACTCCAGTTGTTAAATCTTTACACTGGCTCCCCATCTGTCAAAGAATTGATTTCAAATACTGCTATTGGTTTATAAAGCAGCTGAATTGTCTAGGGCCAAAATATATGACTGATCTTCTGGTTCTGCTATAAACCACCCAGAGCCCTCAGGTGGTCAGGGACAGGCCTGCTCTCTGTTCCCAGGGTCAGAACCAAACACGGAGAGGCAGCCTTCAGTCTTTATGCTCCTCAGATTTGGAATAAACTTCCTGAAGACTGCAGGTCGGCTGAAAATCTCAGCACTTTTAAATCGAAGTTGAAGACAGTTCTGTTTGCCACTGCCTTTCCTTATAGATCAGACAACTGCAGATTTTCTGCACTGCTGCTTTTGTCTGTTATCAGTGTGCATTGCCAATGCAATGCACACTATTGTGATTCGTTTCCCATCCAAGTCATCTCCACTTTGCCATGCTTCTCCTCCTGCATACTTTGTCCTAGAGCTGCCATTGTAATTTATATCTGTAAAGCTCCTGTGCCAAATGATTGCTATGCCTTTTGGTGCCTGTACAACTTATAGTTTTTGCAATATTAATGTTTAAAATCAAATAATTGGAGTCAATGGAGCCTTGCATTTGGTACAATACTGCCCCATGCTGTATCTACTCAGTACTGCACCATAGTTTAATAATATTTAAACTCAGTAGTTCAGTGTTTACAATAAAAACATGACTGTATTTTGATATTTCACTATAATATTGTCCTAATATTCCTTTACTGTTGTAATATATTGCAGTTTAGTGTCAACAATTGCATTGGCAATTTGGCCTCTTTCAGCAYMCATACAAACAACACTGGGAGAGCCTGCTGCAACAGCTCCTATAGTCTCATGRTGAACACTATGGGCTTTCATGYGGGAGATCAGSGTTCAATCCCAGCCATAAACAAAATWTTTCATTACAACTACATATTTTCTAATTGTCATATTCTCACACAATTACCCTCATTACAAACAACTGCTGACTTGGCAGACACAAGCTGGTACTTGATTAGCAAACACATTTCAACTTGGTCTTGGTCACAGTTCAAGCTGCAGGCAATGCCAATGCACACTTGTTTTTACATCGTAAAAACCCATGTCTAGTTTTATCTGTTATTTTTAAATGTATTTTGTTTTATATTATTGGGTTTTATTTTTATATGTTGTATTCACT